GCTGGATTCGTATTTGCTCAAACCGGTGCAGCGCCTGACAAAATACCAGTTACTTCTGAAGGTATTTCATGATCTGCTTTGAAAGAACGTCAGAAGATAGATTTGTTTTCCAGTTTGTTTTATTTTTCAATTAAAGGTTACGTATAAGTCAGCACCAAGCCTTAGATTACATATTGCTTATCTTGGCCCTCTGTAGTGACTTTCAGTGAAGATGAAAATTCGCATACCTGAAAAAGGAACAAGTGCTTTTAACAAGCCATGTTTTTAAGGGTAGAAAGACTCTTTGAATCTGTTCAGAGATGCAAAATGACAGAAGCACTTCTAAGAAAACTGATCCAGAGATAATTGTGAGAGTATGATGAATGAAATATATTCTATCGATGCATTGCTGCTTCTCCTTAGGTTATTATAGGGCATCTAATCTTTAATGCATTTATTCTTGTGCCCCCTGTCTGAAGCAGGGCATTGCTGTTATTCCCGCTCTGTAAAATGGGATTAACAGTGGGGTAGTGGCTTCTGAACCCCACCCTCTAGCCTCTTGAATGAGAAATGTGTACACATGAAGCTCTAAGTGGGCACAGGAGATCTGGAATGAAAGTAATTTTGTATCAATGGTGTAATTCCCTAATCTGTCTTCCATTTATTGACTTCAAGGCTCTGGATTTTATACATTCTATTCTTTGTGTCTGCCAGTCTGAAGACAATCATCTGCTGCAACCTCATTTGAAGGTGTATATGGCATATTGGCAGCTAATGGAAAACCTGAGCCTTATTTCCCATTTCTTACCAAGCAGGAAAACACAACACAAAGAACTCAGATGAGCGTGATGCCGCTCTATAACCTGACAGTGCCCTTAAGGAAACCCAGAAAAAATGGGTTACGCTCAGTGATCTGTTCCACACCTCATCCTGACTGTGGTTTAGAGTGAGTCTTTTTTCCAGTGACATATGAAAAAGAAACTCAGGCAGTGTAGGTTGCTCTTGGGCATTGGAAACTTTGGGTGAGATGGAAAAGTCTGCTTTGTTCAAGTGCAAACACATGCTTTTCCATTTCTATTTTCAGGAGTTGCTAAAGTACAGCACGAGCTGTGATGGAGTTCAGGAACTTCAAGAAGCTCTGGTTGCAATGTTGGATTTGCTAAAGTCAGTCAATGACTCTATGCATCAGATTTCAATAACAGGATATGATGTGAGTAGATTCGGGTAATGAGACCTCGCACAAGGCCAGATGATGCTTTGGGAATGGATAGTGTCCCAGAATGTATGAGCTAAAAACTGTACTACAACAGCTACGAAGTGAATGGGATCAGGAAGCTCTTACAGGTGACAGTCTTCCATCTGATTGCAGGATTTTGGAAAATATCTGCATCCAAAGGACGCATCCAAAGTCGCATAGTGCCCACACTTGCCACCTTGTGGTTTTTGAGAGTATTTTTCCAGCATGCACCTTAGTTCTCTCATGGATGACCTTATAATGCACCCGGTGTGTCTTCATAGCATTTCTCATTCAACATTTAACTAAATAGTCTCTGAGGCTGATTTTGATCCTTGCTCATTGAAGTGGTTGTCTTTCCTAGGGTTTCAGGAGAGGGTGAAGGGATGGCTTTCTAAGCAGCTGGTCCCAGTCCTGGCCTCTTTGAGAAGACCATCCTCCAAGACCTCAGTTCAGGTTCAAATCTCATCTGCCCTCTCCCACTGAAGTAGCCGGAGCCCTTGACCTGGAATTCCATAGGAGCTGGAGAGTTTTCCTATCTTCCTAGTTCTTCCAGTTACTGGCTTGTATCCCTTCACATAGACTAGCTGCAGCCCTGCGTCTGAGACCTCTGCTTCTCTCCTGGCACCATGCCGTCACTCCCAAAAGATCATCTGATCCTTCCAGGAAGACCTATTCTTAGAGTGACGTGCCTTGGAACAGAGCTGGCCCCATTGCCTGTCATTGTTTTGACAGTCCTCTTATATTTTAATTGACATCTTTTTCTTTCTTTTCTTTTTTTTTTTTTTTTTTTTTTTTTGTGATACTCTCACCAGGGTGACCTGAGTGAACTGGGGAAAGTATTGATGCAAGGATCTTTCAGTGTTTGGACAGGACACCGGAAAGGTCCAACAAAAATGAAAGATCTTGCCAGGTTCAAGCCAATGCAGAGGCATCTGTTCCTATACGAGAAAGCCTTGGTTTTCTGCAAGAAGCGAGAGGAGCATGGAGATGGATATGACAAAACCTCATCTTACAGTTTCAAGCATTTTTTGAAAGTAAGGACTCTTTAGTTGGGGCCATTGTCATGTATATTGTAAACCAATAACTCCGCAGACCCAGATAGTATTTTTCCTTTAACATTGTGGCTTGTTTTCTGCTATTAAGGGCTGTAATGCTTCATATGGAAGTGTCACACCCATCAAAGGCTGTTGGTTGTAATAAGCTGTGAGGACCCCCATAGCTGAAGCAGCAGCTGAGAGAGCCCATGGACTCGGAGTCACATATGTGATGGCATCTGCCAGGGAAATAATGCTGCGGGCAAGTCCCAGGGGTGAGAAGTGCCTTCCCCGCTCCCATAGTCTGCTTTCCAGGAGCGGGGGCCAGGGCGTGAATCTGGGAAGGCCCTTTGCATCTTCCCCAGCCTGCCTGGGAGAGCAAGGGGGCTCCTCACGTCCCTGGTCCCCAGGAAGGCCCCTTGGGCTGCGGTCTGCCTGGCTGCTTTTGAGCCCTGTTTCCCGGGCAGGAGGATGCAGAGTTAACTCTTCTTCCTCTTTCATTGCCTTTCTCCTTTGGCAGGCTCTGACTGCAGCTAAAAGTACAATTATCAGATGAAAAGAGTAGCCTATGGCAAAATGAGGGACATAAACAACTGTCCCAAGCCTGTAAATGTTAACTATTCTCAATAAAAATCCCAAACTGCTTCTCTAAAAGAGAAGACCTTCTGGCGTACTGCATGTGATGAGTCCTTCTAACATCAGCGTTCTATCTCAGTACTCTGCCTTGTTTTTCTTTATAAATAAAAACCCAATATGGGTATATCTTAGAATGGGAAAAAAAATGGGCACTTGGAGGCAAAGCCTTCAGGCCAGACGCTGCAGGTCCCTGATCTCGGCGAGGTCTGGGGAGGGGCTTGCCACAAGTAATCAGAAAGCCATGTAACAGTAGATAAATCTGTTCAGCTCCAGTGCGTGTTACAAATTGTGTATTAAAAGCAAATCCCAGGCCATATGTTTAGGTACTTCAATGTTTTTCCCAAACAGCATAATTTTCTTTCTGGAGAGCTTGTTTTCCCTGTAGTGCTTGTTCTACCATACGTGCTTTTGAAAGAACTGAAGAGGTGGCATGGGGAAAGCCTGCTTGGAGGAGAAAATCCTGCGCTCAGGAGTCCAGGCAATGTGGCCAGGGTTTTTCTTTGCTTTGGGAGAGCTCGTTTGCGTGGCCACACTGGGAGGCTGGGGTTAGACAATCCACGGATGCTGCAGGATTACATCCATTTTCAGAATTGCTGTCCTGAGGGCAAAATCAGGTTTCTGGAACTTGACATTTGTTTGATTCATGATACTATCAGGAAATTACTTTTCTTTGCAAGAATGTTTTCTGGGGATTCAGAATTAAAGCAAGCTGCTGGGTAGAAGTTGTGTAACTGGACCTCTGTAAAACAAACAAAAGAACTCCTCAGGATAATATTTTGCATACTATGTAAAATACCATACCTCTTCAGCTGAGATTCAGTAACTTACAGGATGCAGGTTCATAACTCACTGCAATGCCATGTAAATCAGTTTGCCTCATACTGCTGTGGAAGGTGATGCAGATGAACGCCATCCCAGAGCTCTACACTAACCCAGCTTGGTCTGCATTGCAGTGAACCAACAGCTGAGGGACAGTAAATCCTGGCCAGGGGGAGGAAATTTCAAAATCCGCTAACATGAATGAACAGACCTTAAATATGTCTATTTCTGGCACTTTCTTTTGCATCCTCAAGGTAGATCATCTACTAATTTCTAATATCTTGAAGCCTGGGCAGTTTTGTACGAGCTTACGTATAAATTGCCGTGCCAGAGGGGATGCACAGAACTGGGAATGGCAGAATATGGGAAAGGCACTCTCTAGGCTGCCCTTTCCATATCTTCTGTAAATTTTTTTTTAAAGTTTTTTAAGTTTTCATAAAATCAGAATGGAGCCTGATCTGCCTTTCTAAGGCTTTATGGCACTATACTGCACAGGATAAAATAATTTTTTAAAATTATTTTAAAATTTTAAAAATAACATAAAACTGGGAAATACATCACTGCTGTTCAGTGATGGGCCTTTCTGCATCTGGAGGCGAACACTTTCTCAGAAGTTCATAAGAGCTCTTCTGTTCATACCAGTGAAGAAATGCGGAAAGCTAATTAGCAGCTTGCTTCCTATTTTCTGAGGCTGTTCAGAGTCACTGAAAATGGGTGCGAACCTTTGAAAAAGTAACTAGGAGCAGAAAGTTTGCCCAGGTGGCCTAGTCTGTAAATCCTCGTGGTCATTCAGACCAAAAGCTCTGAGGGTGCACATGGAACGGCAATGTTAAACAGATGTTCTTGCTAAGGCCTTATTTGTAGTTATACTGATTTATCTAATGCAGTCTGTGTCAATAATTTATGATAGATGATACCATTATTATTAGATCTGTTTCAAAAGATGCAAGTGGGATATTTTAGCTATTTTTGACCACACATTAATCAGTGATAAATTGCTAGCAAACTGCTTTAAGTGAGAAGATGGTTTATGCAGTATCAGGTATTAAAGCATTTTTCAGCTTTATGGCATGTTCAGCAAGTGGGTCAAAGATCTGCTGCTGAAGAGTTCCTTGGTCTCTAATCACAGTTTGAGCTACTGATTCAGCTGGGTCATGTTGTGCAGATCCTGAATTATTTGGACCTTCGGCATTTCCATCCAACTTATCAAAAGTTGTCTGTGATAAGGGGTACCTGGGTATGGCAGCATCCAGCCACACCTAGCTTGGAGTCTGTGTCCTTCCTGAAAGCCAGGTTTATGGCAGCTCAGGCTGTATATCCAAAAATTAAGCCATCTTTTGGAAACCTTGGGATGATATCTCAACTACAGGGATGGTCAGGGACCAAAAGATGTTGAGCTGAAATTTCTAAAGGAGCTAAGGGCTCCACAAATCAGTTTTAAAGATCACTGAAAGAATGAAACAGAATGCAGAGAGTAAATAAAGAATAATATGGCAAAAGTAACGTATGTAGAAAAATAATATGCCATGCATTTATACATCTTCATAAGCCTCATCTGAGAGATTTCATGCTGAAAGAGGTATGAGATGACTTTTCAGTTAGTTCCACTGATTCCTGAATGAAAAGTCTTCTCAGGTCCATTGATTGGTTTCAGAAAGCTTTTACAAATACAGCAAGCTGATGGAAAGTCAGGGGGCATAAGTCAGACAATGACTTTCAGTTGCTACTGAAATTAAAGTGAGTGGAAACAGGTTTGTTTAACATGCTGCAAAATGTCTGGATTCATAGGAAAGAGGGGAAGATTTGTAGTATGTTTAATTTTTTGGTTCTTTGGATTTGCAGATGAATGCAGTTGGAATAACTGAGAATGTGAAAGGAGATCATCGGAAATTTGAAATCTGGTATAGTGGGCGAGAAGAGGTCTATGTCGTGCAGGTTTGTAGCTTCAAAAATCTGGACATTTGTACATCCTCATAACAGTGTTAAGGAAGTGTGTCCTATTGATCTTTACAGGATTATCAGACATTTAACGTGCATTTCTTCTTCCTCTTTGCCCATGTCAGTGTTCACAGATCTGTCCCAGCAGCTGGTCCTTGGTGTCTAGTTCTGAGTGTGAAAGTCATCTTAAAGTGGAGACAGAATTGCTCCTTGGAAATAGAGCCTTTTATTTCGGATGAAATCTCAAATAGACCAGTAGTTTTACTGTGCTTAATAGTTTATATTTATAGATTGAGCTGGGAAATAGTCCTCATGCTTTAATGGGCACGGGTTACATGTGTTCCTCTACAATTAGACATCAGAACTGCTCCCAGAGCAAAGGCTTGGTCTCCATGCTGCTATTTCCAGTAGTCTTTTGACTCTTCTACAAAACAGTAGCCCGATTGACCAGATCTTTTCCTGATTTTTTTTTTCCCCTTTTGTAGCATTTTGAATAGAAATTTGTAGTGGTGAAATGTTTGCCTAACAGGGTGTTCACAAGAGAACCTGTTGTGAAAATATTTTTCATTGACTTTTTTTTTTAATTAGTCTTCTGCTTAGCTTTTTTCCTCTATGTTACAACACAGTCGCCAACTCAAATTCATAAAGCGGCTGTATGTAGCAAAGTACATATATATTCAAAAGGAAAATTTGGCTCTTTAGGTATCCTGTAAAAGAGATGAGATGAGTTGCATGCACACGTGTGCTTTTGCCTGCACTCCTTGTGTTGTAGAGATGGCTCCACAGTTTCCACTGTGTTTTGCCTGGGTGTAGTGGGGATCATCAATTTTAAAAGATCAAGAATATTTAAAATTTAGTGGTGGCTTTGGATAAAAGGAGATTTCAGATAATTACAGCATAGAAAAGTAAGATTTTATTCATACATTATAATGGATGATTCTTCATACAAAATTCAGACAATTTTCCCTTCTTCCAGGCCCAAACAGTAGATCTGAAGATGGCATGGTTGAATGAAATAAGAAAAATTTTGTTCAAGCAGCAGGAGCTTATAAAAGGTACATTTAACCAATTTCTCTGTGGCATTCACTCTGCAGCGGAACCTTTTCTGTTTTCACGTTGCTGATCTTCAAATCCACTAATTCACAATATAGAATTGATTTTTCAGAAGAAGCCTAGTAGCAAAATACTGGAGTGAGGCCTTACATTACATGGAGATAACTTAGAACAGTAAAAGCCAGGTGCTTATGTGAAAATGAATTGCAGAAGTACATTTCTTTTTTTGTCATTACCTTGGGGATTATTTCACATTTGTTATCATAGGCTTAACCCAACAAGATACATAGCAGATGCCTAGTTTTAAGCATATTAGTGGCATGCTCGCTATTGGATTTGTGCTAACATACCATCTTAATCGTAACTAAGTCTGTGCTTTGCAAGAGTCTCTAGGTCTGTTTTTCTCTAAACAGAAATTATTAGAGTTGTACAAAAGGTCTAACTTTTAAAATAGTGCCTCAAGTGTGACGGTTACTGATTAAAAAAATGGATTTTAAGCTGGTGTTTGTCCTCCCCACAGTGGAGAAGCAGCAGCCCAGCTCGTGCACAGACCAGCTCCCACTCTCCTCCCAGCTGAGTGATGGGTGAGTCCCAGGAGCCAGACCGGAGGCTCTCTCCAGTACCCTCCCCTCGCTGGGTGCCTCCTGACTTCTGGCTGTATCCTGGCTCTGTGCTATTCCCCCCACCCCATTTCTGTCTGAGACCTCTGGGTAGGGGCAGGAGGGATGTGCTGCCATTCATCCTTTGGTGGTCTGGGGAGAGGGTCTGTAAGGGGCACCCTCAAGCGCTCGCCTGGCAGCACAGCCTGAGCTGCAGCTCCTCTGCAAATGGAGACAAAGATCAAAGACAGTGCTCAAATTCAGGG